TGTTTAAAAATTTAATTATTTTAAATAGTATTAGGGGAAATAATATATATAGTGTTTTCATATATATTCTGAGCACAGACAAGGGCTGGTTCGGTTGCTAGCAAGAAGAAACAACGAAGGACAGAGAGGAATGTTGTATACAGACTGCTGCAGCTACATAATTATATTTCTTTTTTTTAAATAAAACCGTTTTATAGATAAATGTTTACGTATATCTAAACTGGATATTTAAATATTATTGTGTACACACACACCGAAAAACAGGCGCCAGCTGTAACATGAGTTAGCGCAGAGTTAGCTGAGGAGCCTATCGACAGCTTTGGCATGCTGCGCGTAAGCGTCTGCAAACGATATACAAGTTCGTTATGAGGCAAAGCATGCAGCAAAGGAAGCTTCTCTGAAGCTTCCTTTAGTGCACGCGTGGGGCTGGCTAGCTCAGCTAGCCGCAGCGGGGTGCGCTGCAACCCCATTTCGGGCTGCCTCCTCCCCTCGACACCCTGGCCCTGGGCTCAACGCCCAGGATGCCTAGGTACCGCGGAAGGAGGTCAGCTGCTTTGGGAAACTCTTACTTTAAGTCTTTGCCTTCATTGCGGCTCGTCTCTGGTCAGGTCTAAGGCCGGAGAAACCAGCGTTACACCAGCAGGCTGTAGAGAAACTGAAACTGAGCTTATGAAGAAATAGAAGGAATGCAAAATATTAAAAGTGATTCATAAAAAAACAAAGAGAAAGCCAATAGCTGCCTGTACACCCGAGTTCCAATGCGTACTGATCCTCGTTTCCTTTCTATTAATATTATTATTTTTTATTAATTTTCTTGAAAATGAAGTTTTTTTGGTTTTTTCTTTTCTTTTTCTTGACCATACTCCAGGCAATGCCCCTCATAGCCGCAGATCAGCCCCCCTCTTCCTTCCGTTTCTCTCAGGTAGGGGGGAGCCGGCAGCGTTTTCATGGAGAAAAAACATAAAAAAAAATTGATGAATAAACATGAATTGTTTTATATTTTAAGTTTTTTTATTTATTCAAATCATCAGATCCCTGGATTCTCAGAAAATAACCCGCCACCGTATACCGTCATCAATATCGCAGCTGAAGCACGACTCGCAACGGTCAGCCCAAATAAAAATCATAAATTCACAAATTTATAAATTAATAAATTAATAAATTTATAAATTAATAAATTTATAAATTTATAAATTTATAAATCTATGAATTTATGAATCATCGGTTCATGCATCCACATTTTGATTCAACGAATTCGCAATTCATGAATTCATAAATTCTGAATTCATGATTTCATGAATTTATAAATTCATAAATATAAATATATCAGTTCATGAATTTAAAAAATTTTAAATTTAAAAATATATAAATTTATGAATTTAAAATTTTAAAAATTTTAAATTCAAAAATTTCAACTTTTCTATTTCTGTTTTTCATATTCGCGAGTTTTTCAGGATCCACTGGAAGGTACATAAGACGATAAACCCTAAACCCTAAACCCTAAACCCTAAACCCTAACCCATGAATACACTTATTATTATTTATATTTTATATATTTTCCCCTGAAATGTGCAGAACTGAAGAAAAAAGCAGAGGTACGATCTGCTAGCAACAACGATGACGAGACGATAGCCACACAACAAAAAAAATGCAAAAAATAATAACAAACATAACAACAACAACCCCACCCTTTTTATTCTCTTTCAGCGAAAAGCCCAAATTCGAGTTACTCACGACC